AGACTCGCCGTTGTCGAAATGGACTCTCGAAATCGTTTCGGTTGCAGAATCGAAGCGACTTTGAGGTAGGGGGCTTTATCCCCACGGGTGATTTCGGACGGCAAACAGCGGGCAATTCGTTAATGCCGTCACGGGAAGATAAGAAGCTCAGAACGAGGCTTTACGCCTTTCGACATCGTTTTCTCCGAGGGCGACGCTGGACCTTGAAGGTCACCGTTCGACACGCTGAACCCACGGATACGCAGATCCTCCCTTCGTTAAAGAACATGAGTACGATATAAATACGAGATAAATACGAGACGAGCACGGAGGATGGAGACGGACCGAGAGACCCCCTCCGGGGAAATCGGGTTACAATGGGGGATCGCATCCTCCTTTCTCGCCGCGGTGCAATCTTCGAGCGGTAAAAAAACATCTTCCTTCTTGCTTTCCTTTGTGAAAATTCTCATTAGAACGCGTTCCTTCATTCCATCGCATTTAACCGACATGCAAACACAGATCATTATGGCTGCCCGGTGGAACCATCGCAGTCATTAAAAAAACGCGATTACATCAGATAAGCTCTCGACCGTAGAATGAATCTGGCTTCGTGTCGGAGCTTTATCCGAAGACTTTCGAACGAATTTTTTTTTATTTCTCGTGGAATCTGAAAGACCGCCGAGTCCATTGTAGCGGTTTGATTTACGAGTGCGTTTTTGGTTTTCCGTTTGCATACGCGACGAAAGTACGTAGGGACGGCTGGGAGCGGCGTTCCCACGAGCCGTCAGAGGGAATGGGAACGCCGCCTTTCGTACTTGTTGCAGTAACGTAAAAAGTCGTTCTCTGGGCATGCTGCAACTGATGTCGATCTGGTGAAAATGTGAACGATGGATAAAAACCGGCCCGGATAGAAACATGGGGGGAGAGACTCCCGTTTTTTACCTTTCCCATTTCTTTATGTATCGATTTCCATCGGTGCCCATTTGATTCGCGCGGAGTGGAAACGATATCATTGTCGACTGCCGGGGATCAGAAGCGAGACTCCACAGTCGACCGACGGCCTCGAGTCGGGAAAGAACCCTAACATTTTTCCGAACGCGTCGAAATATCCCTGTATTAAATATCCCCGACGACCGACACGAAAAACACGCTTTTCCGGTGTAGACGAAGAGATAGACAGATCTCGTTTGCTCGACGTGCTTCGTCGATTCACCGCCCGCATAAATCCAATTTTCGTCATGATGAACGGGAAAAGTGAAGAGGGGTGCCCTGATTCGTATTGGGTCATCGCGAGTGGGCGTGGGGGGGGGGCCAGGGGGGCGAGGGGGGCTTCGCTTCTTTTTCGATCGCCCTCGTAACGGAAGAAAGTCGAGTGGACGAGGCGATAAAGGGCTTCGTAAAGGTCTTTGGTTTCTCACTGTTGGCTTTGTATTTCGTATCGCTGGAGCCACAGGACGTACGCGTTACGAAAAGATTGCGTGAGGCACTCGGGACCGTTTATGGGAAGGAAACGGTCGGGAACGGATCCGACGCGTTCCGATGGGCCTTCGGCAGTCTTTCTGATCTGCTTCGTTCCGAATCCACGGGATTTCGACCGATCGTTTCTGGATGATTGGGTCTGATGGGGTCTGTCCTAGAAAACGGGCGGAGACGGAGACGAAGCGGAAATCCGCAAGATCACATTCGGTCCCAGTGATGAAAGTCCACTCGTACAAGTATGGTAATGGAGACAAAGAGATGACGGGGTTGAATGACTCTCCCCCCCCCCCCCTTCCCCCTCTGTCACGATGCGCTTAGATTGCTAGGAATTGCGGGGGTCCGCTTTTGCGATAGCATTTTACAAGTTCCTGCAAAAGGTTACAAGCTCCGGAGTTCCCATTCCTTCGAGAGAGGCTTGTGGGAATGCCGCTCCCGCGCGGGAAAAATGCATGGGAACGCCGTTCCCATTCCTTCCCATTTACTTTCATCCCTGCTCGGTCATCACCCGTTACAGCGATCGCAAAAGTAGGCTCTGCCTTGCGTCGTGCATCGAATCCTACGGGAATCAGTCGTCGAAAGGGACCGAATTCGTCTCTAGTGAGGCCGAAAATGTTCCACTATTCTCCGTACGTCGATGAGGCGAGGATCCGGTGCCGAGAGAGAAAATTACGGACTCGGACTTCTACGGGTTCCAAGGCTTTTCCGTTTCCAGAGGGCTTTAGAAAATTACTCGTATAAAAGAATACCCTGCAGGAAGTCAAATTATCTCATGAGATGAAACAAAGGGTGGTTATAATAAAAAACTAGAACGGGAGACCTTCAAGCAGGACACTTTATGGCGGAATAAATGTATTCGGGGCGCCTTCAGATGCCTTATCCCAGTCGGAAGTTTGGATTTCGTGGAAATAGAAATCGACAGACGATGCAATCGCCGGAGACACCATCACCGATTACCGACCGCCATTTCTATCGCGTCTGTGGCTCTTCCAATTAGAGTCTCGGAGAAAGCTACACCCTTCTACGTGCAATCGAAGGTGTCGATCTACGGCACGTCACCGAATTCAGATTTCTCGGGTCGACGAACTGCGACACTCGCCCGCTGCTTATTTCTTCCTCCCCCGCGACTTTCGTTTCGATCGGGGCACCTTCGAGAGGTGCACGGGAACGTTCACTCGTCGCACGGAAGACGGCGCACTCACCCGTGGTCGGGAAAGACGCCGGGAAGGCGGAGAGAGGAGAGGAAGGGAGACGAGAAGCTCACCGGTCGGCGGTCGCGGAGGGACTGATGGCTCGACGAGGATGTCCTCGTTCTCCAGAGCGTAATCTGGAGTGATGGCCTCGGGGAGGCCGGCGCGATGCGTCCGTGTCTCTTCGTCGACTGAATAACGAAAGGGAAATTTCTCTCTCTCTCTCTCTCTCTCTGTCGTTCTCACGGGAGGATGATGTGCTCGACTTCTCGAGTGGAACCGGTCTCACGTCGTTCGTCGGGTTCGTATTTCCCATCTTTTTTTTTTCCCCTTTCCCTCCTCGACTAGTTTTATGATCAGACTGCGATGAGACGTTATGAAATGTCGAAATGGCACGAAACAAAAAATAAATAAAACCAAAGAACGCTCGAGTCCGAAATCATCTCATCGCGCCTCATAGGACGGCAGCGAGGACACAGCGGGGCACAGCGGGGCACAGCGGGACGTAACGGGGTCCACCGCGGCGGTCGCGGATCGAAAGAAAATGGGGCGATTGGGACAGGGAACCAACCGGCTTCACGATACGATCGCTTTCGATCTGATAAAGGCTGGATAAAGGCTACTTCACGTGGAAGCGGTTCCTATTATACAAACACGAAAGAAAGTCCTTCCCACTTAAGAGCGCCGAAACTGTGAGGCAAAAGGTGCCGTCGCAAACGTGTGACGAGTGACACACGGGGAATCCATTAGGACTTGCCAAGTCTTTTGCCACGGGGTCGGCTCTTAATTGCATCGAGGGTATGCCATTTGCGTACGATAGCTCGAGGATCGGCCCTCTTTCCATTCGTGTCGCCTTTATCATGCAAAGCGGACTGAACAGTAACTTAAGCAGCGCATTTCCGGGTGATATGCCAATTGTGCAACGGCGACGCCCCAGTGACAACATTTAAGTGCGACGGTGACGCCTTTCCTCGTGTGCCCCTCGTCACCCGCGCGTCCTCCGCCTCACAGCCGAGGCTCGATGGCGTTCTCGACTCACTCTGTAATCGCTCGGAAGATTGCACGAAGGGGTTGGGCGAACGAGTTCGTGATCGATCTTTTCCGTCGCCTATCCGCTCACGAAGTCTCGTTGAAGCGGTCATATTTCTTTCATCGCTGAATATTCATTCACGCCTCATTTCGAGGTACGACATTACCGTTTCATGGCGCACGAGTTTTTTTTTCAGTGCGGCTCGTTCTTTCGCGAATTTGACGAATGGGCTTGCGTCTTCGCGGAAGGACCGTGAGGTGCGCCTCTCGGAAGAACCGCGAGGCCGGAGGTGCGCCTCACGGATCGCAAACTCCACTTTCTCCCATTTTTTGCGGCGAGGATGACCTGGGTATTTTTGTGGGCTTTGTTGCAGGGCCCCCATCACCGATGAGCCACGGGGGAAGTACCGTGCGAGGGGCGTGTCGCGGAGGTCGGGACGGACGCGAATCACGCCGCGTGATGGATGGGGATCGTGACTGAGAAATGTCCATTTTCACCTAGAAAATTCCACTGCTCTATTTCTCGAAAGAGGGTCTTTCATTACGGTGTTTCCCCCGACTCACGTGATTAGACAAGGTCTACTTTTCCCTCGTTTTTCGAATCCTTTTCCTTTCCGACGCGGTCGACCACCCCTTCGACCCAGTCCGAAAACCTCTGGACGCGTTCGGGGCGTGTGCGTGACGCAAGAGGGCGGGGCTCTTCGAAAGCCACTCGAGGCGAGGCGGAAGTGGACCCCGAGTGATTCGGAACGAATCCCATTTTTTTTTGGAAATCTTGCCTCATCTCGGGTGTCAACACGCGGGGGAAAACAGGGGGATGAAAGAGAAACAAGAGGATGATCGAGTGCGCGGCATCACGCACGGGCCGCGAGACCAATCTTCGACTTGATGAGATTCATCTAAAAGCAATCTCTTCTACTTAATTTCGTGGGATGCAGTGCTAGTTTCGTTTTCATTTTCGGGGTCCACGGGTGGTCTCGCTCTGCACGATCATTTGCATCGATATCATCTGTTTATGAGTCGTCTTTCATCCTTGCTAATGGTATGGCCCATGCAAATTACACCTGTCTGCTGACTCCATTCAGCATCCGCCCGTGCCGAATCTGGATATTACACCTGTCTACTTCCTTAATTAGGGATTCTCCGGTCAATGGCAAAATACAACGTTCACATCATAATGGCAAGGCTTTCAAACAAAGGAGTCCAGGAGAAAGCGAAGCTCTTTCCTTCCTGCTAACTCCAACATGGATTCTTCCGTTTCTTTCTCAAATATATATATATTTTTCCAAGTTTCCAATGTCTATCCGAGGTCAGGAAACGAGTCAATGTTTCCAATGGGGACACATGAAGGCATTTTTATTAACTTCAACTGGTATCATTCACACAAAACAGGACTAGCCACGGCAAAAAATCTGATTCGAAAAATAAAATGCTGCAAAATCGAAGCAAAATTTAAGCAATTCAGATATCAAAGGACAGTATCACAGATGAGATTATGGCAGAGGGAGCCACTGTACAGCATCTCTAGCATCAGGTCATCAGAATGCATATTTTAAAGGGCAAGGGCTTCTGTTTAGAGATCTTTAAAAAATGGATTAAGTACAGTATAAACCTGGTGAACCCAAGAGACCTCAGTTACTGCTAGAATGGCAACATGTCGGTACAACTGACATAAATTGAAATATTCCAATGCTGACTGATTTTGATTTCAATTGATGGGTACTAGGGATGGGACATTGTTTAATATGGGAATTTAGGGTCATTCATAGTCAAGGAAGCCAAAAAGAGTAGGTCTTACAGTTACAAATGACCATATTGACAATAAGCCACCCCTAATTATAACTGATGCTTGTACCATTACTGAAGGTGAAGCAAAACTTGGGGTTCTGAAACTACAACTGAGACATGAACTAACACCTTTTTGGAAGCTGGCAGGGAAAGGTACCCTTTTTAAAGCTTCATTTTTGGTTTATAACACTGGAGAATGTGCCTACATTTAATGCCCATTCAAAATTCAGGTGAAGACCAGCAAGGCAACCTACTTGTAGGGTGCATGGATTCATGGTGAGCTATCACACATTTTGAGCATTTGATATTCATTTACTTCTTCATCCAATACCATGAAAAATAATAGGACACCATTCACCAAGAAAGGACTTGTAAATGAATTTTAAAAACCTTTGATGAACATATTTTTTATTTTTTTAAGCTAAGGCCCTAATGTTGAAACTTTTAATGCATTGCAACCATTTGCATTGATAAGAAATTAAAATTCAAGCCCTTCCTCTTCCTGAAGTGATGAGATGATGTGGGGTGAAACCAAAGTTTCACACAACACTAGAGAATGAAGCTAAACAGCAGAGTTGCTTACAGTGGTTCAGCTTTTTTTGCCATCGATTTAAATCATGCCCCAGTAAAGTCTTTTGTGAGGTCTTCAAAATCCTCCACTGGTCCCTTGACTGTTTTGCTTTGATGAATGGAGTCACTAGAAGCAGAAGTCTGTTCAGCCTCACTGTCAGACATACTTTGGTACCTGGGTAGAAAAAAAGAAACACAGTTTGCATGATAGGACAAGGAGAATGTCAACATTGTTACCCCAAATCCTGTCATCAGGCAAACTCAATAAAGCTTACCTACTTTGGTACAAGAAATGCTAGCAAGCTTCCAACCAATGAGAAAACTGCTGGTCTGACATAACCCAAGACTTCCAATGTGCCAGTAAAAGACTACTAGAGCCAAAGTAATGTAATCACACTCTTTTAAACAACCCCATTACACTTATGGGCTTTCAGTGCTTTAAAACATGGTGTGCACATTTTTAATAAACAAAATGCCACTTCATGATAATATTTCTGCTCACAGGGCAGAAAAGCAGTGATCATAAAGAGAATGAAGCAATGTGCACTATTTTTACTTCCATGCATGATGCATTGAAGCAAAAATAGTTCAAAATATTCAACACAGGTAAAAACTATTAATGAGGTAAAATTGAATTTGCTAAATTCTAATAATTCACTCTTGATGAACAGATGGAAATATGGGACATGGGATGGTCCAACTATGATTCATAGTTTCCTGTTCATATTAATAGCATAGAGAAAAGGAAACTCTTTGACTTGAAAAAAAGATTTCAGAGACAGAAATTTGGTTTCCTGTTTTTTTTTTTGGCTGCCTTTTCACAATTTCACACACTGAATCCCTCACTCAAGGAAGGAGATAAACCACTTTACCTGTGGTGAACCACCACTTCCACAGGGAAACTCATTTTGTCTCATGGTAGGAGGAACACAAGGAGTACTGCAAAGGGGCAAGAGGCAAATTGGCTTAAAAAAGAGTTAACTTTATAACTTCTTATTGCCAATAGCTTTCTTTTAATGTTCTAGGTAATTGTGATAAGTTCAGAGATAGTTTCACAGTCACTATATTCACTGTCTGCCTTAGGGGAACTTTTGGGTTCAGTGGCCTGTGATAATGTCAATGGAATGTTAGATCAAGGACTTAACACTTTAAGACTTGGCAACAAGCCAGAGTCATGCCAAGATGATATAAACCCTTTCATGGCTACACACTGAAATATCAGTTTTGCCCCAGGTAGGTTTAGGAAAGCCTCAACCATGAAAGTGTCAAGGATACCCAATTGGGCAGGTGCTTCCTTTATCATGAGAATCCTTCCCAACTGATTCAACAATTTTGGCTTTGGATGGAATATTTGGAAAAAGAATATAGGTCAGAGCACTCACACATGGTTCCCAGTTAACGAAAAACTGATGCATCACCAGCTATAATGAAATGGGACTCACATGCTCATTACTTAATGGTACAGCATAATGAGGAGATTTCATATGGGACAAGCTCTTAAATTTTGTACTCATAGTATGGACTTCCCACTGGGATGAAACTAGGGTGGAAATTTGTCTCACTGCCTATGTGCCCATACAATGCTCAACATTTGTGAGAACATGACTTTGGAATACATTTTAAACAATACATTTTTCTAAAATAAATTCAAAGTGAAGATATTCTTTTATGGAGGAGCATGGTGGAGTTGATGGTTGTTGCTCCTTCATGCCAGCTACCAATCACCCCCATATGCACCATCTCTAGGCTTTTTATTTAATTCTCCTCCTTCCCTTTTTTCTTCATATCTCCCATAATTTAACCTGTATCACTTTTGATAATATACTCAAACTAGGCTTGAGAGTGGACTGGACTTTGACCCAGAAATAAGCAATGCCTTTGCCATGAATCCTAAAAGAACCTTTTACCAGGTTTCAGATGAGCCCTTACTGATGCAAGCAAACCTACCGAGATCTTAATCTGGCATTGCTAGAAGTAGGAATTTCATCAACACAGGGTGTAAGCAGTCTTGTCCTTTCCTCATCCTGGCGTGGAAGGTTTGATCCAGAAGCACTGGTCCCAAACAAACGGCTCCCACCCACACCACGTGTCACTGTCTTTCCTGTCACAAAATAACAATAATTAGTTCTGGTAACTAAAGAAATTAATAAAATTATAGCATAGGTCTGTAGAACTGGAGGAACTTACGTATCACAGTGATATGCTCATTGACATCTTGTGTCACATCAGAGACATCCCACATCTGTGCAAAGGTTTCACAACATGGGGTTTGAGCTGCAGCTGGGTTTACATATGGTCGATAAGAGAAGGAATAATGATGGGCAACTGCAGCCATGAACATCTCAATGCAAATGAGAAAATCCTGGAAAAGAAACATTGTGTGATAATTTGGAGGCATATGATAGCTGAGAAATGAGATCAAAACTGAGGGGGAGGAGTCTAGACTTATATCATTCCTATACAGGAAATTGTGATGTTTTATGTTTTCCAGGGCACTGAATACTTTCTCTGTAATTTGGAATGTCCTTAGCAATTGGTAGTGGTTAACCACCAAAAGAGGACTGAATCCTGAAGGGATTGTTCTGAAGTATATAAGACCATATATTAACAATTTGACATCGTGTTAGTACTGAAGTTATACTGCTCATAAAGGATTTAATTTCAGTGATTCATGCTTGTGACTTCAGTATTTTTTTAATGGATTGTTTCAAGGATGAGTAGAATCATGTCTGAAGTGCCTGCTGGGTACCTGAAAAATTAGGCTGGGTCCTCTTGGTATAAAAACAGGATTCCCTCAAGTATAGGCATGTGACTTTGAGTAGCAAAAAACAAATGCACTATACATCAACCACCAATCAGCTTACCTGTATACCAATAGAGATATTAACTTTAGTTCCATCAGCAGCATTCCCGATGTTCTTTGGAATGACATGAGTGGCAACCAGTATTGCAATCACCACTCCTTGGCTAGCAAGAGAGGTACCACAACATGTGCATGTTAGCTCCCCATTTGGATGACTCAGATGTAACAAGCAATTGAAATCAAGCTTACAAAAAGGAGAAAAAAACCACAGCCTTGATGCAGAGAAACTTGGAAAGTGGTTTCATGGGACGAAGCTCTTCCTGGCAGGCCCGGTAGAATAAGACAAGACAGTACATAGCACAAAATTGAGACACATTGTTTAGGACAACAATGTAGGGAAAGGCTGCATCAGGACGAAACTCTCCATCTTGGTAGACCCCTGCCAGTTCACAAATCCTGGAATAAAATAGGAGTGCTTCATGAATTATGCTATCAGCAATAGTTTGTATTTGAATATGTGGGTAAGAAGAGCTTACAAGGCTAGGACAGTCATGATAGGTCGTACCACAGTGTACTGCAGGATACCATGCTTGCATCTGTGGACAAACTCACTGGAAGGAAAAGAATAACCATTGGTCATCTATGCAGTAGCTATTACCAACATCCAAAAATTGAATTGGAATCAACAAGTAAGAGATATAGTGGAAAAATTAAAAGACTCGAGTGAAAATTAATGCAAAGCTGTACTTCTCAAACATACAGGTTGTCCCATGAGTCACTATACCATTTCAAACTGCAAAAACCAGGTCACTGTTAGCATTGATGAAAAGGATGTTCTTTAGAATTATTAGAATTTTTTTTACAATAATGACTTTGAACCAGACTCAAATAGAAATTGTTTCAAAAGCATATGGGTAAGTGGATATTTAAAAACTGGCCTGCAACAATTTTGGTGTGTGCTCTTTTTTCACAAGGCCAAATGTAGCTTTGGCACCAAACTCAAGGTTGAGATAACTCGAGTACCACACAACCCCCCTGCCTGCAAATAGTGCCATTTGATGTAGAATAATAAAGTAGGATTTTGCTTTTTTTTATTACCAAGACCCATTTTGAGGTCAGGTGTCACAAGCTGGTTTTTTTAAATCCACTTACTCATATTAGAAAAGTGTACTTCTTTAGGGTGATTTATGGTACATCTTGTTGAATCCTTTTCTACAAAATTCCTGAACTTCATGTTTTTCTCTCCTTATTTCAGATAGAATTAAAAAACAGAAAAAAAATCACTTAGTTTAATTTGCTTTCATTGTCATGAGAAAAAGCTTCACATTTGATATCTGAGCAACAAAGGATAGTTGCCACCTGAATGGAGGTTTTTGACAGTTCCATCAGAGTTCAAAGGGAGTTTTGGTGATTTTTCAGTGCTGAGCTTCATGCCAAATGTATTGATACAAGTGGAGGGAATTTTCAGGAACTTTCAAAACTCAGAATTACCTCCATTTTTGATAAAGATAAATCCAAATGACATGCTATTGCCCAATTAATATTACTTCTTTTTTGTGCCAACTGGTTAGTAGATGTGAATTTTTGAAATGGTATATTGACTTATGGGACACCCTGTATCCTTTCCCCGACATGGGCATGTTTTGACATCCAACATTCCTCAACCTTTGCCTACCAGGACTGGGCAGGATTTAACATGCAATCTCAGACTATATCGTAGAAAAATAGCAGATTCTGATGGGTTGCACATAACCTGATGAATCTGCTAAAACATTTTTCAAGAAAGTATTATGTGGAGGAGAGAGGACTGTGCGTGAAATGCCCAAATCCGCACTCCTTTTTGGTGAATTTGAGCACTCAAGTTTTGATGTCGGCAAGGGATGGTTGTCCTAAATGGGTATGGATGATGGTAATTGATCAAAACTGGTGCATCTCTGTGTAAAATTGGCTAGAACAACTACAACTGGTTCTCCAAATGATATTCCAAGTAGCAATGAGATCAGCACTGGGAGATACACTAAAAAAACAACACTTTCAAGTTTGTATGACCACTAGTGGATTTGATTGGCTACCACCACCCTATCAGCCTGCCTTTGAGTCAGAGACTATGTGTTAAAAACATGTATGTGCTAGGGAAAGAGTTATCTACTTTAGTAGTCTGTGGCAATAAGCCTTTTCATTTGATTAGAGCTTTCATATGTTCAGGCATGTTCATGAGAAATGAGTTCTGAAATTAAAATTTTTTGGACTCCTGGCCATATATCAATGAAAGCTTTGATGAGAACCTACTTAACAGTAGGTTTCATAAGTATGATTATTCTCTTAATAAGCATGATCTATTTGTTGTGTTAAATTTGGTAGATGAACCACCTTTGATTTAACAGGTTGATTCATCACTGAAGCAACAAATACATGAATAATCCTGTGCTTTAACCTCTTACCTGTTTTTACTCATTGAAATCTTACATTAATTTCAAATGACATGAAACACTGCATCACTTAACATCTGACCCAGATATGACTGGAATGTACAGTGAGATAGTCTCCAAGTTTCAACTGTGTGTCAAATAATAAAAAATGCAGTATAACAAAAGATGAAACAAGAGAATGCACAAAGGCCTTTACCAACATTTCCAAAAGCTGAACTCCTATATGTGATTGACTCTCTCAGACAGAGCCTGCCTCTGCTTCTCATAATGATGCCAAGTAGTGTTTTTGGTCTCAGTCCATAAAAATGAAATGGAAGCCTATCTTGTCATTCAAGCCTGGCATCAACTAGTCATCATCATTGGCCTTACCCCATGCATTTACTCAACTTATAGAGAGCTCAGAGCATGGAATGGTTTGGAGGGTGGCCAGGGAAGGCTTCCAATGGCAGTGTGTGAGACATTTGTAAGTTTTTTCTGTTCACACAGCCCAGTTTGGGTTTTTATAATTTTGACTTTGATGCGATATTCAAGGAAAGAGATTCACTGTCAGAAAATCATAATGCAAATGGTTTTCAGATGGTGATGGAATTTTTCAACGACGCAGAGCTGCCTGCCATGCTGTTAAGAGAGTTCTTTGAAGCACAAATATTCTAGTCCTGAAAAGGACTGGAAACTTGCTTAGTGCCTAATTGAAAGCACATGAGAGATTATTAGGATGATTGCCCTCACAATCCATGCCATGAAGTAGGCTCTCACAGAAACACCAACTGATACATGGCATGGAGATTATGAAAAGTGATGTGTCCCAAAGAGGTACAGACATATCCAAATGCGTGAAAGCCATAGTCAGGCTAATGAAGGGGCTATAAAATAATAGAATTGATATATGATTGAGAAATACAGCTTAATGTTACTTCAAGCAATTGTTTGATTATCTTCAGATCACTGTGTACACTATTGCACCAAGAATCAATCATTTCCAATTAGTATGCACCATTCAAATGCTAAAAAACAGTGGCTTAGGACCACCATGGGTTTCTTGGAGCATTATTTTGAAGCAGGCTTCTCACTCATTGAAGCAAGCAGGGTTGTGAGTGAGGAAGTGATGCCAACCCAATCTAAAATTCCAGCTACTATCCAACTGGTATTCATAGCTGGTTCCAACTGGTTCCAGCTGGGAATAGATGGTTTTCAATATTCCAGCTGGATTCCACTTAACACAACTGGTGTATAGCTGGAATGCTGTTTGCTTACTTTGGGATTTCTTAATCATGATTATTCCTATTCCTGATATGAATAAATATATTTAAATCAATATTCTGTTTAAGAAGAATATACTCTTTTAAAAGAGTCAATTAACAGGCAGATTTGTTTATGATTAACAGATTAATACTTTTCAAGTTTCAAGTGTAGATGGTAGAAGCCAATTCAATCGCCCATTAAGGGGCATTGGGAATATCTTATATCAAGCATTGGGACAGAATAGAAGCATGTGGGATAGGTGAAAGTGCAACGCGAAGAGATTCCACATTTCCATGGTCTTCATAACTCGCGGGAATGGAGGCCGCGCACACCCCAGGGCGTCCTCTCTGACCTGACCTGACTCCCTTGGGGGCATAACGACCTGAGGCAAACTTTCACATACTCCCCTTTCACTCCTTAGGGTGTCTCAGTTATAGCTCCTGTCCGTGACTCACTCGTGCTCTTTCAAGCAACGCGTCAGCAGTTATTTAGTTTCTCCTGCCAGTGCTCCAGCTATATCTGCATTCGGTGAAGTTCGCCGCGGCTTCTCTGGTGAGTAAATTTGAATAATTTCCATAGGTTAGACCCATTAATAGAGTTGCATCGGATCAGCTCAAAATTCGAACATCTGAAATCTGAAGTTTGGTTTGTAGTTTGAAAAGACAATGGGGTCGCTTTCTCTGAACGGAGACAAACATGTGGGTGTTAATCAACGAGGCAAAAAAGCGATGATCGCGTGGTAGAGGCTAGACAAAAGGGGAATTTAAAAGTTGAGCCAAAAAGTTTGTAGGCTAATTAACTATCTTCCTTACAATAATTAATTTACAGCAATCTGATAAGCAAGAGAATAAAGTGAAAATGGTGTGGCTCAGTGGCGCAATCAAGGAGAGAGGGAGGTTCAGGGGGTCTGAACCCCCCCAACCCCTTTTCATGATAGTATCTCTCTACTTCTCCCTTCCTCTCTCCCCCGAAGGTGGGGAACGCAGGAAAGATATGGGCAAACGACCAGAGAACGAGGCTGGAAAGGCACAAAAATAGGTGAAAGGCGAAGGTCATGTCAGTCACATGTAGCTACTCACTTTAGTAAAGTGAACCTGTCAAGCAAACGTTCTGCACATGTGACTCCACTGATTTTCTTTTTTCTGAAAACAGAAGGATGAAAATTTTAAGGGGGATGGTTCCCTAGTTTCACCCTCCACCACCTTTCACCACTCCCCTGCCCTTTAGTCGTTTTCATTTCTCGTTTGGAGTGGAAAACGTGAATATCAATTTCACTGGCCCAATAAAAATTAATGTAAAAGCTATAAAAAGAATGCTTAACCTGGACATGGGGTGGGGGGGGGGGGGGGCGAAGGGGGGGCAATCGCCTCCTCCTGGATCTGCCAATTATGCTGTTACTTAAAATAATATACCTTAAAATTGGCTCTGGTTGATAATTTTTAATTTATTGAAAGAGCAACTTAGAAAAGATGTCAGCAGGGTGAACCACTGGATCTCTGAAAAAAATTAGTGATTTGGAGCAGACCAGGAATGCCAAGCATTTTGGCTTCCAAGACTCTTGAGGACCTGGCCTATATCTTGCCTTTATCCTATTTCAATCATTCAATTTTACTGTGCAATTTTCTGTCATTGACACATTAAAGGCCTTCTTTTGCTCTGAAATCTCAGAACTTTGGAAATTAAACCCTACCTGAAATGAGATTGTTTTACTTCCCTTTCAGCTGAATTCCATGTTCCATTAATATTTAAAACACCAATAAGCCACAAGAATTATTTAAACTCTATATTCATTCAAATAATAGAAAGAAATAGTAATTCCATCCACACACCAGCTGGAACTACCTTCCAATTCCATCTTCATACCAGCTGGAACCATGTTCCAATACACAGCTGAGACCAGCTTAAAACCAGCTGGTTCTACCAGCTGGTTTATAGATGGTATTAGGGTGGTATATGTAGCTGGTTCCAGTTGGTTTTCCAGCTGGAATTTTTGACTGGGAATAGCAACTTGAACAGATGAGAAGGGGAGAGAGAGGGGCTGCAATGCCAATTTGGACAATATGGAATATGGAAGGGGTATTAGGAATAGCACATCACAAAGAAGGGACTTTTCCCATTGATAACCTTTAGAAACCGAAAGGGAGGATCTGTCTATGTAATAAAATAAGAAAAAATTTTATATTTATGAGCAGAGGAATGGCCACCAAGGAATATATGTCATAGGAGGAATCAAGGCAGGTCATAGAAACTGCCTTGCTTTCAATGTGAGAACCCTGGCAACCAGCACTTTAATATAGCACCCCCATCTGCAGGATTCAATGTCAGCCTCTATGAGATAACTGACTGAACAACCCTGAAGCAATTCTTGGTCATAAAACTTTACAAAATACCTAGCAATAGCCAACAAGCAAAAGTTGCTGAATCCACTTCAGTGCTGTGCCTGGTAATTAGAGTCTAAATACAATCTCATATTGTGATTAGTATGAAGTCTATGTATTATATTCAGTAACAAAAACATGGAAGTCATCACCACACATGTACCAAAACCAATTACAGCCAGAAATGACTTACTGTCCCATTTGCCAGTGAGGCACACAACAGCATGGAAACATGTGTTCAACCTGTTTTTTCTGCTCCAGTGCACCATACACATCCCCTTGTACTTCTTGGAGAAAGTTCAAAAGAAATATCATGAAGTTATAGATGACATAGGCTTCATAACACTCCCTCAGAGTGTCAAAATAGATGGCAAATTTTGGGACTGTCATGCTGAGCCACTGCAAAGAAAAAATTTTTTGAATTAGCACATTACACTTCTATCTTCAATATATGGTGCAGCAAGGAGACTAGACTTACAGCATTCAGAGAGTAGATAGGAACCATCCAAAGGATCCTGAAATAAAAGGGAGTCCACGTAAAAGTTTGATACGCTTACAGTGACCACTTGCAAAATATAATTGAGTTTTATATTGAAGTACAACATTTCTCAGAAGCATGAACCAATACCTGATGATATGCTTTTGTCTCATTGGGTTTGTGTAATGGATGAGATGTTGGGTGATATCCCATAGTGAAAGTGGAAGACAAAGGACAACAAATACTGTTCCCACCAACCATGCCTGAATTGTGCCAGTCACTCCTTGTGTGGTCATTTTCACAATCAAGAAAGGTAGGCCAGCAAATATGATCACAGTATACAGGAACATGATAAATGGTCGAATCCAAAGTCTCCATCTTATGAAACAGGTTTTTATGTATCTTATACATCGCCCCATTTCTTGTTGTCTTTATAGACGTTCCCTGCAAATGTGAGGATCACTTAGGTAAAATCATTTCATGGCAATACCTCTGCTACAGTCATTTTCAAAATAATACCAAACATGACTCACATAATTAAGGCAGTTGATGAATTTAGCTAGACTTACTTAACTTACAATGCTTGAATGGAATTTGCACTCCAATTTCCTTGGTTTACCAAATGGTAAAATGATGGAGAGTGCAGTCAAAAAACATTAGGATATGTAACACATTGTGGGTATTTTCCCTCTAGATGAACATAGATCTTTGAGAGCTATTCCCACTTCTTTCTTCTCAGGTTTATATTAATCCTCAATTCATACATTTTCACCACCATAACAGTAGATTTCCAAGTCCCTGGGACTTCACATGCTGAGATAAGATCCCAAAATATAATATGGAAAATGATTTGAGGACTGAACTGACAATGACATGCAGAGTAAGCATCTATACCTCCAAGAAAACAAACCAGCCAGCTCTGCAACATCAACTGGAGTTGCTATGCTTGCCTTCTGTCCATTTTCAGTCACTTTTGACCCTCACTCTGCCTTTTCTTTTATGAAGCCTTCCTGGTGTTGCAGTAAACTTTTCCCATAATCTGGTATTTTAAACATAATTTCCTTGATTCCTAGTGAAAACCATAGTTTATAGCAAGGAATCTAGCATTCTACAGTATTTTACTATCACTGTAAAGACTGAACTGAGAAACTGAACAATAAGCTGGACTAGTTCAGTCCAATTGTGGGCCTCCTTTCAATGACTGAAACAGGAGGAGAATGTTGCAGGTGGGTTTGGAGATGGGAGGGGAGTATGACATGCAGCACTGCTAGTTATAGCATTGCACAACTTCAACTAGCAACCCTGTCTCTGCTGCCATGCCCCTCCCTTTGTTTGTCAACAACAGATCCATCAGCTAAAATAGCTAGAAGGAAACTAACACCTCTGGTAGGTGCCATGATATCACCATCCAAGCTGAGTGATGCAGAAGCATCTTAATGCCACAGAGTCAATTTTTCTGCCATGTATACTACTGCTGAAAATGTCAGGGCAATTTTTTGGCCTTGGCATTTCATTAGGTCTTAAGTTTTGTTAAGTTACCAATGTTAGGTATTTTAAAACAACCATTAACAAAGGTTTTGTTAGGCATGCCAATGAAATTACAAAATCTGGTACCACTCTGAATCTCTCTAAAAATTAGGATGCATTGTAACTAGAGCATAGTGGATAGCAATTTTACACCTCATTCAGTGATTTCACAGCAACCAGTTACTTTCAATGCATCACCAGCCCCAGTTTACCTTCAGTTACATGAGACTAGTGATAAGGCTTGAAATAAAAACTTTCTATTTAAAAAAAAAATACAGTTAACTGAAATTGAGACTAAATAAGATTTAGGCTACAGTTTAACAGTATCCTCAGGAAAGGATGGAAGGATCATTAGCAACAGATAAGAAAAAACTAAATTGGCATAATGTCAAGTAATTCCTCAGTTATTGTTCTAGTCATTCAAGTTTATTTCCATGATTTTTCATTGGTAATCCCATGCATGCTGTTCATTCACCTCTACAGTAGAAGATGAAGTTTTCATGTACATTAGAGACTTTGTGTACTGCTAAGTTCCTACATAACATTTTTTGGCAGATGTGATGTTAGTTAAATCTTGACAAGCTAGAAGATCTGTGAAGGACTCATGGAGCTCTTTCCCTCATTCTGCAAATCTTTAACAAGAAAGAAACTATTCCACAAAATCTTTCATACTGGCATGGTTTAATTAACTATTGTAGGCTAAAATGAAAAAGTTGACTAGTTTATTTTTTGCTGTAAAATACTGTTTCCTATAATAAGCTGTCTCTAAACTGGGGCATGCATGATACCACAGATATTCGTTGAGGTTATCAATGAGCCTTGACAATTGCAATGCATGGCTAGCTGCCTCTGATGAAGTATGCCGATAGTACCATGTACTGGCGTAGGCTTTACATGTATTTCGCAGCGAGCCCTCAGAAACGAATACGGGATTGTACATCTTCATTTCACAGGAGACCATAACAAACGACGTAATTGATAACCTAGGCTTACGCGTAGCTCAACCTTCCCCAACGAAATAATAATTTAGCCCCCCAAAAACGCCTGTTCCAAACACGTCGAGAATTAACTCCTGGAAAACTGCGAGCTTTTGTTCTTAAATACTCATCTGAATTGCAAAACATGTGAGAGCCTTATCTGGTTTTACACTGCGCAGACATGTTGTAAGGGGTGATCCGAATGTGACAGCACGGACGTTTTTAGAGGTATGCGAATGCGGGAGTTGGTCCGCGGGTTGCCAGGAGCAAGTTATGCGGGCCATATTGTATGCTGTAGCTGCGGCATAGAAGTCACGCTATCACTCCCGACCCGCCGCGTCTCTAACTCTTACTGCTTCAACCGTGGTCCGCGACGTGGATATGCTGCCAGAGCTGAGCAGGCCTCTTGTGACCTAGTCGCATGTGCCGATGGATGAGTCAGGGCGAAGACGTTCTTGTTCTCGGTGGTCATCCATTCGTGATACATAGGTGTAGTCAGGGAAGATCGCATTTCCGTTGGGTTGGATTCCTGTAGGTTAGGTTTTTTAACGTTGTCGTTAATATTAACGTTAATTTTATTTTACAAATAATATATTGGCTTGATCATATTGTCAACGTGAGACAAAGAGCTTTCCATCTCTCTCATATATGACCGGACTGAAAATAACAGAAAAGAGAGGTAAAAGGAGTATGCAGACTGGGAGAGATTTAGAGAAAGGCCCATGAAGGCATAATTTATTTTGCACGGCTTTCACTGAAACACTGACAATTGCTTTCATGAACTTTCTCAGATGGCATATCACATGCAAATGAATCTATATCACCTTTTACTTTGTGCCATGCTATTTCAATGATGCATTCAAGGAGGTGAGGGTACATCTTCCAAGAGAGAAATGCCTCTAGAGCATATGCTACTAATGGTACAAATTGCAAATTCCTTTGCAAGTCATTGTAATGTATCGCAAGGTGGGCCATCAAAGACAATAGAAGTTGCCTAGTAGTTAAACAAAATGTTCATAGGTGTTGAAGACTGAGAACACCAGTGAATTCCCACCAGAACAGTTCTCAATCAAGTTTGTTTTTTCTGAGGGTGATAGACTTGTATTCTCTATCTTTGGTACCTTGACCCTCTCATGCTCTTGAGAGATTTAAAAAGCACCTTTCCTATCTAAAGTCTCAAAATTAGCTGTAATGATCTACCTGCTCCCTTAGCTCAATCTTATTCTTTGTTTGAAGGTTTTTTTCCTTGACAGGTTTCTGAGAAGCCAAAACCAACCAGAGGTGAGGAGGCCGCAACCAGTTTTCAATGACACATTAAGTGTCTGAACACTAATCAGCAATAATTGATAATAACTGACCTGCCTCCCTCCTCCTACCCTGTAGGAGTGCTTATATGTATATTGTAGGCAGTGACATCTTGCAGATGGGTAGTTATGTGGACCATCAGATAAAGTAGATCCTCTGAAAGTGGTGCTTCCTTCATTCTCCAGTGCTCAGGGGGTATGAATTTAATCCTAAAACAGTATGGGAGTGCTTTCATGAGATCAGTGAGAAGATTCTCTTTCAATTCCAGTGTTACATGTCTGACAATGAATTAAGCTAAATACAGCAGTGCCTTGATGATACATAGTGCTTGATGTATAACTTGTCTGGCACAATGACAAATAGGGGCTTCACTTCTGACAGAATTTTGCTCTATACATAATTAAGGCAATGCAGATGATTAAAAAAAAAAGAATTTTTACCTTGGTTGACAACTTCAGAACCCAAAGAAGCTATGTTATGCTCAAATAAATCTTTACAATGGAAGTAATAACTAGAGATGCAGCAATATTGAATTCTGGTTGATGTCAGATGTCAGTATTAAGTAAAAGATACCATTAACCGATACTGATATCCATTTCCACATGCTCAAGCCCCAATAATTCATTCCAATGATGGCATTCATCTAATACATAATTTGTATTATAAGTACCTTGTTTACTGCAGTTATAGACTAGTAGATATAACAAAAAGTAAGAGTTTCATCTTGTTCCAATTGAAAAAAAAGGACAAACAAGACTCCTGAAAGAATTATTACAATCACAGAAAATAAAATCACAACCCTCCAGTGAAGGAATGCCATTAATGGGCAATGGAGGTTCATGAGCATGGTAGGTTTGGGGAGGGGGCCAATGAAGAGAGACTATAACACTTCACATGTACACTGGGAGCAGCAAATCAAGGTGCTGAATGCCTGCAAGGGATAGGGACTCTCTGCTTGGTGGCCATCCTGCTGCTTCCAGTCCCAAAAAAAAGCCAGTGACCTAACTGTGGCTTTTCTCCTTTATACTGGAAAGCCCATTCAACCACAAAACCTCTTTTTCATGATTTCTCATTTAAGGCCTGCTGCTTGCAGCAATACTTTGTACATCTAATTTTCCCTGCAAATTTGAAGTGCATTACATGTAAAGAGTGCTGACTTTATCATTTCAAGGTGAGTTGGTGTTCTTTTATATGCAATGAGCCATTGTTTTGATGCAGCACCTTCTTATAAAGTATTACCTCTGAGACACTTCATATATCAGTCTATCTGATAACTATCTGAAACTATCTGATGAATCCTAAATCTGTTGATGCCAGTGGAAAATTGAATAAAGGTTTTATACAGTGATTTTTACTATCACAGAAATCTCTTGAAAAACTGTAGTGAAGTGCTATGGACCTCTTGAGTTCTTTTTGCCCACCCTGTAATGGTTAAGCACATACCCCCTGGGATATTGTGTTTCCCCAAAAATTAGGCCAAGTTAGGTTAGTGTTTATTATAAATAAAAGGAATCCCAATGGATGTGGCATGTTTCCAGTTGAATTCATCTGGAAACATTGGAGACTGGGGGTATGCACTTAACTGTTACAGGTCATTGGCACATTGCCTCACCTGTCAAAATGATGTTTGGCTCTTTTTGGCATAAGTGATAGTCTGAACCTTGCCCTTCCAAGGAAGACTACCAACTTGTACATGTTCTCCTGTCATGATGTGACAAGTAAACCCTGTATTGTGGGAAAGGGTCAGAAGTTTTGCACTTGCTACTTGGCAGTCACACAGGTATTGAAGCCCATTATGATTACACCATTTTGGCCATTGTTTTGACTATTTGGTTAATCTAGACCATAGGATTGTCATAGGATTAATTAAACAACACTAATTTCATGAATTCCTGTCTTTTGCCCAGGCAGCTGCTCCAGGGCCGTGATAGCCATTTTTAATTTTGCCTATGCCAAAGTGGGTGTGAAGAAAGCCCTCTTGTGAAATCTACACAAAGAAAAAAATGGTTCTGGAGAGCACGATGATATGTGTGGACAATAGTGAATACATGAGGAATGGTGATTTCATACCATCACGGCTCCAAGCTCAGCAAGATGCAGTCAACCTCATTTGCCACTCTAAAACCAGGGCAAATCCAGAGAATAATGTGGGGCTTTTGACTATGGCAAATACAGAAGTCCTAGCTACACTGACAACAGACACAGGGAAAATCATGGCGAAACTTCAGCAGTTGACTCCAAATGGCATTGTGAACTTTATGACTGGCATCCGTGTTGCTCATCTGGCCCTAAAGCATCGTCAAGGAAAGAATCATCGCCCACGAATCATTGCCTTTGTTGGGAGTCCATTGGAAGTGGATTCAAAAGATCTTGTTCGATTGGCAAAGAGGCTCAAGAAGGAAAAGGTAAATGTGGATATCATCAACTTCGGTGAGGCACAAGAAGGAAACAATGATAATTTGAAGGTGTTCATTGAAACCCTAAGTGGCAAAGAGGGTGGTGGTAGCCACTTGGCCACAATGGTTGGAGGAGATCTTGTGAATGCCCTGATGGGTTCCCCAATTGTCAAAGGAGATGATGAAACTGGTGGGATTAGTATTGGTCCTGGATCTGGCTTTGAATTTGGAGTTGATCCCAATGAGGATCCAGAATTGGCATTAGCATTAAGGGTCTCTATGGAAGAACAACGTCAGAGACAGGAAGAGGAAGCTCGCAGGGCTCAGGCAGAGTCAGCTGCTGCATCAGGAATTAAGCCTGCTGAAGAAAACACAGAAGAAGCTTTGCTGGAGAAAGCTTTGGCAATGTCAGTAGAGCATGGAAGTAATAACAACACTCCCCTTGATGCAGGCACTTCCAATCCGGCTGGATTTACATCTTACCCTGATTTTGCCTCCATGACTGAGGAGGAACAGATTGCCTATGCCATGCAAATGTCAATGCAGGAAGCCCAACAATTGCCTGCTGCAAAGGTGAGTGATGAGAAACAGAAAGAAAAGGAGCAGCCTCCTCCAGAGCATATGGAAGTGGAGGAACATGAGGAGGACACTAGTTATCGAGAAGTGGTCAGGGATCCTATGTTTCTTCAGAGCGTCCTTGAAACACTACCTGGAGTGGATCCTCAAAGCGAAACTGTGCGTTCAGCTGTAGGCTCCTTGACAAAGCAAGCTGATAAGCATAAGGAGAAAGATAAGGGCAAAGAAAAAGAGAAGGATGAAGAGAAGCAAGTGAAGAAGGACAGCAAGAAAAGAATGGAGAAAGACAAGAAATGAGAACTATCTGCCCTTCAAAAACTAAATTGTACTGCACCTTTCTCTGTGGCAATTTCTGGATGTAACAATAAGACCAGTAGCAATTGCTGAGGAACATCCGTAATATGTTTGACTTAAAATACCCATCATTCTCTGTGCATTTTTCTTGGTGGTCTATTTTCTTTCACTGCAAGAATTGGTCCAAAAAATATTCAAATAAAAATTGCTTACATATCCTTGTTTAAAGTGTGGTTGTAATTGGGTGTCATGTTAAGGAGTGAGTTGAACTACTGTTGACTTGCAGTTGGAAATAGTGAATTTGGATTGACTACCCTGATGCCAACAATATCATTGTGAACCCCAGAGTCAACCAAAAAATGTGTGGTCATTCTACAGGGTCATCAGAAAAAGACGCTCCAGTTTTCATAACTTATATTTCCTGAACTACATTGCCAACAACCTTATACATGGTACCATTCAACACGTAAGGCTTGGGAGTTTAGTATTGTACTATGCAGTCCCAGTGCTAATTTATAAAAACAGTAGTAAACAAGCTAGCAGTGGGTGTTCATGGTGAAAAAGTTTTAACAAACTGGCATCGTTATTCAAGTACAGTGTGGTTTTCAAAGTGAATTTTGATGTAGGGACACTCCAAGCATATCTGCAATAAACAGGCTAGTAAAAAAATTCATAAATGCTGGTAATGTGAAGGACAAAAAGGATGGTCACTCCGGATGTGGTTGTTCAAGAACACCATACTCTCCTGAACTTAATACCTGTGATTACTTTTTATGGGGACTTCTAAAGATTAATGTCTACAGGAATAACTCATATACGGTAGAAGAATTAAAGGCGGAAATCAGAACTGTTGTGGAGAGCATTAATCAGCAAACACTGTTCGTGGTTATCGAAAACCTTGGTGAATGCCTGCAGATGATGAGGGATGCTGGAGGCTCCCACATACTTGAAAATGTGTTTGTATTATGATGTATTGAAGATGTGCTTTCATAATTAAAAACTCCCAAACATCCTGCATTTTTAAAGTTTTAATTCAAAATTCTTTGTGTATTATTTTAGAAAATACATGTGATGAAAAGAAGAGCATCTTTTTCTGATGACCCTGTAGTTTATTTCATAACTTCTCATGCACCAAGTTTCAATTCTTTATGCCTGCACAAATGATGCTTTACAAACAATGGCTTCAAGTCAGAAAACCATGCTAATGTGAGCTTATTCAAGTTAATTTCTTACAGGATTGGGTTTCTGTTAATGAGCCTAGTTTAAGAAAACAAGGATCAGAATGAAATGCATTCCGAGTGCAACTAAACACTACTGGTAACATTGGAGGTCCTTTGTGTGTTCATATCTCCCATGTTGACCCAAAAGAGGTTCAAACTAACAAATGCTTTATTTGCACCAATTAGAACAGTCATATTTTTGAGTGAAAGTTCATTTAATTTTGAAACCTTTTGCTCACCCAATGGACATGACATTCCATGTACCATTTGCTGTAACCCAATTGACATCATGGTACATAAAGAGCTGCATGTTCCAATGCAAAATTTTTACTTGTGTAAGTTAACTGATTGTGGAGAAATTCCCTTTTGTCTTTGAGCCACACTTTAGTATCTGAGTCAAGATCTCCTGCATGAAAAAAAAAGGTTTTTATTCCTGTATGGAGGAGTCAAACAGCAGTGGAAGAGATCAATAGGGATGAGGCAGTGCACGAACACTTGCAGAGCATTCATTGAAGAGATCCTCATAGTCAGAGTGCTGTTTAACCAGCACCATGAGAGAACCTCGCTTTACCCCCATGGCAGAACCCAGGTCCTGCTTGGCTGGTACATAACAATATGGAATGTCTTTATCTTCACACACTGCTGGTAGGTGACACATAACCTCTATAGGAGTCACATCACCAGCAAAGACCACTAGCCTGGAAAGAGAATACAATGATGATGAAATGAAAAGCAAACCCCACACCTGATACAAGCCTACTTGAAATACAGAAAAAAGAGAAGCATTGGTCTTAGAAAAAGCAACTCCTCAGTTAGATTGAAGGAATAGCTTCATGCCTATATATACCTTTACCTTTTCCAAGTGGAAAACACCTAAGAGAACAAAATCTTTTGATACAGAGAAGTACAAACCCAAAACGTGGATGCATTAGAAAAACAGCAGGTAGTAAAAGGCAGTGTTTAGGGATTCTGAAAGAACCTCCAGAGAGCCTAGATATGGATTTCTTGACTATAAACTATTAATAATTCATAAAACTTGCCAAGCATACTTCAGTAAACGTTTCGGAGAGCGGAAATTTTGTATCAAGAAACAAAATATTGCTCCTCAGTCCTACGCCATCACTAATTTAAATCAAAACTTCATAATGTCCTCAACACTACAATGATACTCCGCAGAGTATCCAGAAGGATAAGCATGAATTTTGCAAGGAAATTAACTTTAATTTTAATTAAAATATATAAATCATTGGCAATGATTTATATATTTTATGCAAACTCAGCAAGGACCTGAGTGCCATGGCTTGATGGTAGTGAAAGTGACATTTTTTCACAAGTAGCATTCTGGAAGGCCATTAACTGAGATTTAGAGGGATAAAATGAATGGCAGGATAAGCTGACATAAGAGTTAATTGGCATTTACCAACATAGGAAATTAACTAACCATAAGCTATTCCCAAGGGTCTGAACAGGCAATAATTTAAAGTTCCAAAGAAACAAACTTAATAACCACCTGCTACAGCTGCAAAAAAAACAACTATGGGTGTAGCCATCTTGAAATCAATCACAGCAACATATACCCCAGCACAGACTTACTGAGTCAATTGGGAGGTTGACAAAAGTTTCCATTTATTTCTAATTTCTAATTTAAAAATTTTAAAATTTAAACTTCAAGAAAAAATGTTTCATCAGTCCTTGTACTAAACCGGCACACATTAATTTTAAGCCCTATGCCATATAACTAGTCCAGCAGTTTTTTTGTGGGGTGTCAAATCTTATGCCTTTCAAAGTCTGAAAAATTCCTCACTGCAAACCCTTTTTCCTTAACCATTTCTCCTGTATCCTGTATATACAACCTTCATTAGTGTCATTAAATGGATAATAGAATCTATGCTCTCAAGTCCATAAGTAGTGTTCATAAATGAACTTCTTTTTTCAGAAATGTTATCCTATTGCACCTTTGATATTTTACAGCAGCAGGAGCAGATCCAGACCTATAATTAGACTTACCAAAATCATCCAAAGACACTCCTTTAAAATTTTAGCACTCTTCATGTTCTTTTGAATCAATAGATTAATATGAGTCAAAGGGATCACTTACCCACGTTCACCTTTGCGAATGCGGCTCTGGACATCCTTGAGACCATTTCTCAGGTATGTCTTATGCTTGGATGCTAGAGGAAGGGGGAAAATAAGCTTTTATTTTTAGCATGACTCTCATCTATCCTAAAAAAAAAAAAACAAACTGGGGGGGTAAAAAGTACTTGTGAATTGCATTTAAAGAAACCCAAATGTGGATATGTCAGAAAATAAATAAGCTTACTGATCTACAAGAATGATTGAGAGGTTCTTACCTTTCTTAATAACCTTGAAGAGCTTCTTTGCCAACTTCCTTGAAGCCATTGGCTTTGCAATGATACTAACATACTGAAGTTTCTCCTCATATGACATTTCTGGCTTTGCATCACCACCTGTTTCTTCACATTGAGATGCATCAAGCATTGACTCATCTGCAGTGGAATCCAGGTTCTTCTCCTTCGACTTCTTCCCCATTTTGACTATACAAGTCTTAAACAATTGAAAGTTGCTTTTAGACCTGAATCTGAAGATTCACTGATTCTGCAGGGGAAAATGAGAAAATCAAATGAGTGTAATAACCAAGCCAGACTTGAGATTAGATATAAATCATTTTAACAATATCAGTCTCAATCATGCATATAACTTGAATGAGTGAATACCTTTTGCTCAAGTCAATACAGGGAAAAAAAAATACAACACTGCAATACAAGTACTCAATTAAAGTAGTACAAGAAGTCCAAAGTATTTAGATTGATAAGAGGGACTGACAGGGCCACCCAGAGGCTTCCAGGGGCCTGGGGCAAAACTAAACCAGAGGCCCCTTGGAGACCCCCTTAAGGCACTTTAGGAGGCCCCCTTGGTATGGGAGGCCCAGGGTAAATCGTCCCCAATGCTGCCCCCCCCTGATGGGTGGCCCTGGGGAATGAAGCAGAGAGAGCAAGAGCAACCAATAGAATGAAATATTGTAAAATTCAGAACAGACATCAACATTAACCTTGAAAGGGCTTCCTGAAGCTTCCTGAAGACCCTGAAGGTTCAACTAGAACTGCCTGGGTTGCAACAGTAACTAATAAATATTATTTACATAGTTACATCCTCATATTTCTAGGATATATATCTTTAGGCTTTTCTTGAACTGCATTAATATTTATTTTTTTATTTCAATGGGCAAGGAATTGTAATATGTTGCTGCAGCTGTAATTGACCTAAAACCATAATTCTTTCTTACAATATATTTGCACTCATACTGTACTCCATTGTCATGCTAGTCACAGACTAATTTAAAGTAAATGCCTCTTTCTACAGCTCTCTACATGCAACGATGCACACTTCATACGCTTTTTCCTGTCAAATACAAATAATTTCTCCACATATCGCCACTTCTATCAGCTTTCCAGTCTGGAAATAAGTCGTCTAATTTTTTTTAAATGAATGCTCAAACTTGACGGGATGTCATAATAGCAAGAAAGCCTCACGATATCCCTGCCCGGACCAAGAGCTTCGATTGAATGCTACCCTTTATCCCTTTTCTCGATAAACCACGAAGCCATGGCAATCAGTACGTTTTATATTCATAATTTTGCTTCCATGCCTCTCAGGCAAAATAGATAAGGACTATATACACGGTAGCCTTTAAAATTAGTTTCTTTAGTGTCGTGGGCACGTTGAGCCGGCGTGACATCACACCATTCAAGGCAGACATGTTGCTTATGCAGTGCTAACACATTGCACTACTAAGAGCTGGAATTCTGAGACATGAGTTTTCCCGCATCTCAATGCTCCGAGAGAGAATATCAGTCTTCCTTCTACGTGGTTTTTCCTTGAATCTTAATCGCTTGTATGGCAGGATCGGGTGGTAGAGAAGGGCCATCGGAGACAACTTTGGCACAGGTGAAGAAATATAGATTGTCTCTTTCTTGTGATTGTTCCTCGTGTAACTTAGAAAGGAGATACATACACGAAGTGGAGAAATATATTCCACATGAGAAATTACCTTTGGCCTTTGAGAGCCATCTTACAGGTTATACGAATTCATCCCCAAGTCACAGTAGCGCATAGACTCCCTTTCCAGTAGCAACACTCGAGCAGTTTCTGCAGCGAGTAATCATGGCGGCGTTCAGGTACGGCGGTGAGCATGCCTAGTTGAACTTTATCTGACCACGTGGGATCGTTTGCTCTACTAGTGAGTGCGAGCAAAACCATTTTTTCACGACTTACGATATGCACGTGTGAAATGATGAGTGATTCAGAAGGAGAAGCACCTAAGGGACCCATTGAAAATGCTTGGACTTACAAAGTCCCACAGTTCTTGAAAGATGACAATCCTCATGGTCTGTTGGAGGAGAGCAGTTTTGCCACCCTCTTCCCTAAATACAGAGAGAAGTATCTCCGGGAGTGCTGGCCGCTTGTACAGGCCTCTTTGTCAGAATGTGGTCTTCTGGCAGAACTGGACTTAGTGGAAGGTTCAATGACGGTGAGAACTACAAGAAAGACCTGGGACCCATATATCATCATCAAAGCCAGAGACATGATCAAACTCCTGGCTCGATCTGTGCCCTACGAACAGGCAGTGCGAGTTCTTCAGGATGAAACATCATGTGATATTATCAAGATTGGGAAGTTGGTGCGAAATCGGGAAAGATTTGTCAAGGTGAGAATCAAATGAAGCATTGTTACTTAGGTAACTTAAATTATACTTTATGTGGATACTATTGCAACAGGAAGTACTTTTCACTGGGTTTTCCTTTATTTTGTGCACAGTGCACAGCACATGCACAGGCAACTCTCACACCAACTTCATTGTGTGCTCAGTGTCATGCCTCAGCATCTTGATTTAATCTAATTAGCTTTTCACTGATATAAAAAAAATTACCTGATATTAAGCATCTTTGGTTAGTATGATAGAGTAAAGAAGGTCCAAAGGATTCAGTCTTTTACAGTCTGGATATGATCTATGAAGCTAAAGTTTCAAAAATCTGAGTTTTTAGTTGTTTGAATCTGATCTTTGAAGATTCCAAGTTGAAAGTTATCATGCTAACCTGGTTCAGTTCTATTCAAGATTTTGTCAGCTAACAAACTGGTACTATACTGAATTATGTCATGTTTCTTGCACCTCCACATGATCTCCTGAAACCTATGCACATCTAGGTATATGCTACTTATTCCTCCCTCTTCCTCTCAGTTTTCATCTCTCTCCTCACTTGTTTGCCCCTCTTATCCTGTGCCTATCCCTCTCCCATGTGCCCTTTCACAAAGAGTACTCAATGTCTCATTAACAGCTTGTGGCCAAAAGAAGAAATTCCATATTGTATTCCTAGCATAGTGCCTCTCAATAAGTTCTTGAGGTTTTTACTGAGAATTGATTTATTTGTTGAGAATTATTAAGGAACCTATGTCCCATACCTCAAATGGTAGGTATTGTGTACAATGGCATGGCTGTTTCAAGTCCTCCATTTCCCTGTGGAAGTATATAATGATCATGATTGTCTACTGAATTCAAACAAAAGGTTTTGTTTATGTTATAGCGCCGCCAGCGTTTGATTGGACCTAATGGAGCTACTCTGAAGGCCATCGAGCTACTGACTGAATGTTATGTGCTCGTCCAAGGAAACACAGTGGCAGCTCTGGGACCTTGGAGAGGCCTGAAGAATGTGAGGAAAATTGTCATAGATACAATGAATAACATTCATCCAATCTACAACATCAAGACCTTGATGATAAAGAGAGAATTGGCCAAAGATGACAACTTAAGGAACGAGGATTGGGAGAGGTTTTTGCCAAAATTCCATCACAAGAATGTGAAGAGGAAGCAGCCCAAGAAAAAGAAGGCCAAGAAAGAGTATACACCTTTCCCACCGCCTCAAGCTGAAAGCAAGATTGATAAGGAACTTGCATCAGGTGAATATTTCCTCAAAGAGAATGAAAGAAAAAGGAAAAAGGTGGAAGAGAGGAAGGAGAGAGAAAAGGAGAAAGCTGAAGCCAAGCGAGAGGAGAAGATGAAGAAATACATCCCACCAGAGGAACCCACATATCAACCTGAAACTTCAACTAAGACTGATGTGGATGTGGAGGCTTTGAAGAAGAAAGTGAAAAACTTCCAGAAGAAAAAGAAGATTGGCTAACAGGCATTCTGCTGGATTGTTTCAAAGACATGATGAATACAGAGTCTGTGTTCTGCTGGTTCATCTGATCCCTAATGTTTGGTAACAAACAGGATCTGTAATCATTCAATAAAATTTGTTTGAATTGTTCACATACTTGCCAGTTCACTTACTAATTCTTAAATGCTGAATGAATTTATTTAAAAAATGGTGGCTACTAGGAGTCACCAATTCTCTAAACTACTGAGAATGACTTATATTGAGAGTGCAGCCAGCCAAACTTGCATTCAGTGTACATCAATGCCTAATAGGCATCTGCTCACCAACTTTGAGTTATCACTATAGCAGTTATCCCATGCTTTTCCAAGTGAATGGGATGTACAATATCTTTTCAATTCTTACTGGTCCACTCCTGGTCTCCAGAGAGCTGAAGAAAAAAGAATTATCCTAGATCACAGAAAAGAAAGGGAATTTTCTGATTTCTTAGTGACTGTGGCATTTCATTGTTATATTCAATCTAAACTTGGAACAGCACTGAGAGAACTTATTAGAACATTAAGATATTGTGATCTCAGAAAAAATGAGCAGTTTTTTTTATTACTACTTGTTTAAATGTTCTCTTTGCAAGTCATTGAACTGAAAAGTTACCAACAAAAAGCCTAAATGATGTGACAAGGGGGCAAGATGTTTATGCTTGCTCATTCAGCAGAAACCAATAAAGTTAACATTGGGAAACTTCTGAGATTAACTTAAGAAATATTTTTTGCTAAATATATCCAATCATTTTGACTAGAGGTTTCTGCTGAAAAAAAAATGCAACAGTGGGATGAAGGAACTTCTCAAATTTTAGGCCGTCTTCTGAACCCAACTCAGAAATTTTGGGCTCATTTTAATGAGCTCATGACCAAAATGAAATTGGATTTGCTGAAATTTCTGTAAGCTTTCATGTTGTATATTACAAGACACTGTAAAAGTTGCTACGTGCAATTTTCATCTTCGACGTGTAAAAATATTTGGTGAAATCTCATTTCCTCCCTTCAGCGAGATTCATTGCCTTTTATTCAACAATCCTACCTCCGTCCAATGGCAGATACGGAAAATGTTCATAGGGGGGCGGTTCCCTAGTTTCCACCCCTCCCAACCGCACAAACACACCTACCACCATTCTCCGTCCTATCGCCTTTTTATTTTTCGTCTGAGGTAAAAGCCTGAATATCCATTTCACAGTTCCAAATAAAATTTAATTTATGTACTTTTTAAATTTAAAAAATAGAATGCAAACCTAGACATATGGTCGCCCCCCCCCCCCTTCCTCCCCCCAGATCCGTCACTGCCTCCGTCTTTCCGTGAAGGAGGTCATGAGCTTTTTTTTTGTTACGATCAATTACTTTTGGCTTTGGGCCAATCGGGGCACGACTTGCAAGCTTTCGGTGAAGTAAATATTGTTGTGAACTTCAATGTGTAAACATCGAGCCGGGCTGATTGTAAGCTCTGGTATGAAAAGAACTTTGCTTTGGGGACTTGATCCATGCTTCAGGGTCTTTATTTCTGTCTCGGTGTCGATAAAGGACCTGTAATAAATGATTATTTGCTTCAACAATAAAATCATGCATTAGGGATTGGTTTCGCTTCCATTCATGCGGACCTTGATTCAAGAGCCGTTCCCCGGGCGAACATGCCATTGAAGGTCTCTTCCACCATTGCCCCTAGCTCTTTCTAAGACGAGAATCCTGGGCTTCCATGCCTTCCGTGTCGCCTTTTATGCGACTGGTTTGGGAATGGTACTCGATCACGAAGGCAATGCCCTTCTTTGAACTGTTGTTGGAGTGCATGGATCGAGTCTTTCTAGATGGCTGGCAGACTGTTTTAGGCGGTCGCATTCTTCATCTGAAATGGATGAAGCAAGGAAGCTGGAAAACGTATTCGTATTCTTTTAAAATCTTACTCATTCTAAGGGAATTGCTCCGCCTCGACCATGCATTTGAATGGCACAAACACCGACTAAGCACCTCACTCTGAGGAAAATCGCCTTTAAGGAAAAATAAGATAACTCGGCCCCAAGTCCACATTTCTCAAAGCTTTCACATCAGCATCGAATCCATCTAGAAAAACAGTTCCAAAATTAGGCTCAAAGCCATACCAGCGAATTCGACTTCGCCGAATCCCCCAGCACAATTCCTCGAAAGCCCTCGACGAACCCGACGCGGCATCTCAGACGAATTCCAAGTTCCTGCCCTCTCGCATGACCACAGCGCCGAACCCATGTAAGTACTGTCACGGACATCCGTTGTCTCCCGAGACAATCTCTCACGCGAGTGCCTCAACCCATCATGCACAATCCCTCCTTTATCTCCCCGATCGAGCACACGAGGCTCCCTCCCCCCTCCTCCCATTCCCCCTCGAGTCACACGGACTCAAAAGCTCCTCTGTCTCGCTGGCAAAGCCGGTGCGTGACTTATTTCGTCGCCTCGTCCTGTTCTCGATGCAACCAGCCAGCTAGACCAGCTCGGGAAATACCCAGCAAACAAGGCTACGTTGGACCAACGTTGTATCGACGTTCCGAACGTTTATTCAATGATTAATTCAACGTTATGTGTTTCTAATTGTTTGCTGGGTAGCTTCATTGCAGCGAGAGGGATATCTATTGCTACAGGTAATGCCGCGGAAACGGACAATTTCATGCCTGAAATGTGAATCTGGAAGGGATTCGACTTTGATATTAAAATATAAGTAAATCGTAGGATACGATTATTGGATTGCTCGTGTCCAAGGCAAACTCAGAGGTCCATCACCCATGAAAATAAGTATTCATTGGGCTGAAGGTTAAGACTTAATCCTACCCTCAAGGTATGATTAAGAGAATGCACTATGTTTTTCAGACAGCGACCTATTCTTCGTCTTATAATGTCACGAAGTACGCCTGCCAGTGTGATTTACGAAAACGACTAGTCTAGGGACTTGGGAACAAGCGCAGTACGTTTGAGTTGAGCTGGCGGGCAAACGCGTCCGCTCTACTCTGCGACGCTGAACATTTCGGAAGGGAATGCCTAAGTGTCTCATCGCATCCACCGGTGTCATGGGTGCCATCAGGTCAAAAGTCACAGGTCCAACCTGAAAAAAAAATAGGAGCAGCAGACCAGCCATCTGGTAGTTGCTCGAGTAAACGAGGTTCCCCCAAATGAAGTGAGATGGCGCCCGAATCGTTGCGACTCATCCCCGGTGGGTGCTGGCACTTTTCAAGGAAGAGTCCGCGCCAGCTTATGGAAAGCAGAAAGGGGTCCGTCTCCCCACGGAGGCATTTCCTGGATGACGTCAAGAGATCCTCCAAAGAGTTTTCATTCAAGTAAATGCTGAGAATGGAATAAATATAAAAACAATCGAATGTTAAAATCCATAATTGGTCTTTGGTTTATTTTGACCGCTTCGACCGATTGTGTTGGGTGCATTTTTGTTCTAATAGTCGGGTCTGCTGTTTTCGGATCGAATTGGTACTGTCGAGAACGGAGGAAACGCCAGATTTCCTGACTAGGTGCTGCTGTCCTGCACGGTTGTCGGATGGTCGATTATAATTGCGCTTTTGGGATGACCATAGAAAAGAAAATATGCTTCTATTTTCTGACGAATAAAATCTACATAATAATAATTTAAAAATCAAAAAAACACGGGAGAAAATTCTCCGGATCTACCGTTTTTTCTCTGTAAAAAGTGTCCCATCTTAAAACATCACTTCATGCTGTAGAACATTATGCGATGACGACTGGAACTATCCGAAAACATAAGGATAGTCACATACAGTAGCGCGCCCAGAAAATCGCTAGGGGGGGTTGACATGAAAAATTAATAATTCACCCTGCATATATGGCCATATAAGTTTTTTTTTTTTAGAATCGAACCTGTAAAATGTAACCATTTAACCAAGGACCAAGGGGGGGGGGGCTTATGACCCCCCCCTTGGGCACGCCACTGGTCACATGCATCGGATGCCTTTTCGTGTCCTTGTTTTCAGTCCTTCACCACATAGGAGACAACCCCAACGCAGTAAAACAGGTTCGATCTCGCAAGAACCCATTACCGCAGACACATGAGATGAAAAAAAAAGAAGTTGCTAACTGCATCTGCGATGCTCTCAGCTCCACCTCGAGTGGATCTCGCCTTCATTATTTCCCCCTTTCCCCTCTCGCTGAAACACCTTGCTCTCGCTCTCTTTTCTTCTTGCTCTCGTTTCTCGCTAATATTCCTCGTTCTTTACTTCCTTTTTTGGTTGAATCTTCTGTTTGGCATCAGAAACCTCATTAACATCTACTATTTTAGTACCTGGTTTACTAAGCCAGGCTTAGGATTAATTTGGTATTCAGCAGGCATAAAGCCTGTAATTCAGTATAATAATAAAAAATAATAATAATAAATATATATATACCCACGTACAGTACATGCGGCCAGTCGGGAACCTTAAAGGTTCACTTGCGGCCCGCAGTCAAAAAAGGTTGCTCATCACTGCCTTATACGGTAATGAGATTGACCAGATTTGATTCGATGTCGATCATAAGCCAGACGGATTAAACCAAAGAAACCTTGTATGGCTCCACTTACCAGGAATTAGCGACCCACGGAGGATTCTACTTATACTCAACCTTCCATCCGCTAGGTGTCCTTCCTGCTCTTAGGGGGGGGGGGG